TATATATACACACACACACACACACACACACACACACACACATAACCTAATGGAAATGCTAGAAAAATGTTTTTAGAAAATATGTTTCTTACCTTGAAGTTGTATGTGGACTGAGGCCTCCTCGGCGTTTCTGTCTCGGTCTGATCTGAGTTCAGTCTCACTCCATCGTTTCCGCTGTAGGTGCCGTCGAGACACGATACGGGCCTCTGGTTGGGTTTTACATCTCTTTTATCAATACCAGGCTCTTCACGAGCAGTTCTAGGTGCGAGTAGAATGTCCCGGGGCATCAGCACCGGCTGTCCCATGAACATGGACTTGGCTCTGGGTCGAGACTCAGTGGAGTTTATGGTGTAGCTGTTCTTGGATTCGGGCCGTGGGCTTCCGCTCTCGCTCTGGATCTGTCGGGATCTCGATCCCCAGTCTGACACCGGCTGCCCGTTCCTCCGACTGGCCTCATTGAGCTCCTGATATTCATACGTCTCTCCTTCGGCTACCTCACCCAGACGGCCCAGAGACTGGGCTCTTTTCCTTAAAGACGGGCTGGTTCTCCTCAACGAGTTCGAGCTTGTAACAGAGAGTCGATTCATCTGAGCGATCGCCGCAGAAATGTAGTCCTCATGTCCGATGAAACTGCCACGAACGATCCTCTGGAAGACAGAATTCAGCACGACATTAAAACGGACTCTATTTTAAAAGATTTGACTGCACTGACACAAATGTAGCACTGCATCAGTGTCTCAGCAATGGATGCTCTGCAGTGAATGGGTGCCGTCAGAATGAGAGTCCAAACAGCTGATAAAAACATCACAATAATCCACAGCACTCCAGTCCATCAGTTAACATCTGGAGAAGACAAAAGCTGAGACAAATCCAGCATTAAGACGTTTTTAACTAAATCATGAGTCCATAATCCATAATAACGCTTCCTCCAGTGAGTCAGTGTTCTGGTGTGAATCAGGAGAGAAATCTGCACAGATCAAAACCAGCTCTAAACAAATATGTGGCTGGATTTTGATGTGAGATGCACTTTTTTTTATGGATTATGAACTCGTATTTGAGTTAAAAGCGTCTTAATGCTGGATTTGTCTCAGCTTTTGTCTTCTCCAGATGTTAACTGATGGACTGGAGTGCTGTGGATTATTGTGATGTTTTTATCAGCTGTTTGGACTCTCATTCTGACGGCACCCATTCACTGCAGAGCATCCATTGCTGAGACACTGATGCAATGCAACATTTCTCCAAACCTGATGAAGAAACAAACTCATCCTAATCTCGGATGGCCTGAGGGTGAACACATTTTTTAGTTTTTGTATTGTCATAGATCAGCTGCACACTCAGATCAGTGTCATATGCAGGAAACAGATGCAATTATATAATGCGCATGATGCATGACAGCTTTAATTACAGCAGTGCTGGTTAAAAACACGTCATGCTTCACATTCCTGCTCGGAAAACTGGGAAACTTTAGCCAACAAGATGGTGCTTCATCACTCACTCAGTTACCAAAAATCCAGTTCATGCAGCTACAGTTACAGTTTGACTGACAGCTGATAGATCTTTATACAATTATTTTTCAAATTAGTTTAATTGTCATGAAAATAATGCCAATACATTTTTTAAATAATGCAAAAAATACTAATTCTGTAATGCTTTTTTTTTTGGGGGGAGTGAAATATGATCTAGACAAGTTTTTGTGAAATTCACCTAGTGACTATTTATATAATAATTACATAATAATGTTAAAAATAGAGTTGTATTACTGGAATATACAATATATCTATGCAGTGAAATGCTTTGCAGCTATATAATGCTTGTCTGATATTTTTAATAAATTCTCATAAAAATAATGTACAAATATAACAATGAATTAAAGTTTTGCATATAATTGAAAAAATATAAAATTTTCTTTAAGCAATAAGTTCTTTCTTTCTTTCTTCATGCATGCATAAAATATGACCTGGAGATGTTTTTGTGAGATTCACCTACCCAGTGAACATATAACAAACAATGTTAATGTTAAAAATAGCATTGTATTGCATTTTTTTTGCTTTATTTAGTGGACTGGACAAGAGAAAGCAATATATATATATGATGCTGCTGCTGCTGAAATCATTATATAACAGCAGCATTGAGCAGGTCTGTCAGGTCATAACTAGTGGATAGAGACGTTTAGTGTCACATTATGAAAACATTTGAATGGTGTTTCTGATACGTGAGAACCCTGGGGAAATACACCAAACCTCCCTCAGCAGAACCAGTTTAACAGAGACACACGATTATTCACAACTGGAGCTGCAAACATGAACCTGAAACACTTTCTCAGGGAAAAGCCCTGTCTTTGTGGGGCGTTTTTAAAGAAATTACAGTCGCTGCTGCAAGGAGTATGCCTCAATCACATTTCACAGCAAAACCAAAAGATAAAATGCAGATTGTCATAAATTGTCAGAAAAATAATGTCACTTAGTTTTGCAAATAATGCAAAAAAATGCTATATATATATATTAAATATATGCATTAAATTCCATAAATAGTATTGTATTACAGGAATTTCTTTGCAGTCAAATGCAATGCACTGTACTATCAACTATATGTTTTTTGCCTGATATTTTTAATTATTTGTAAAAATAAGGCTGTTTCGCAAATAATGTGAAAAATCAAATGTAAAAATTACTTTAAGAAATATATTTTTTCTTTACATTTTCAAGTGAAATATGATTTGAAAATGTGTTTATGGGATTCACCTATAGCGACTATATAATAATTACTTAATATAATTATTACAAATTTATTACATATATATATATTTTGAATCTGGACATGTTTTTGTGAGATTCATCTAGAGATTATATATAATAATTATATAATGAAAATAGAACTATTATTCACTGTAATTTACTTATTATATTTTTGCTTAACTGTCATAAAAATAATGCTACTAGTTTTAATAATTAATTTTATTTGTTTAAATTTAATTTATGTATAATTCATACTATAGTTTATCTATATATGCAATAAACCATAACACGACTGCATGCATTCAACAAATACATAACAATTGCATGCAAAAAGTGCAAGAATATCCCACGCAGACCTCACGTTTTCATGTTTGGATAGTGAAGGAGCTTTACCTTCTGCGGTTTGAGCTGCACCTGCGTGACGCTGGAGGGGTCCACCACAGGTTTGGGTCTCCGGAGCGTGTCTATGAGGCTTTGCCATTGAGACGGCAGACCCACGAAGCAGCCCTGCACCGGGTCGAAGGACGTGTGCACCCTGTGCTCGAAGTTCCTGGGAGTGGAGATCTCCAGCCTCCTCTTCTTCTTCTTCTTCCTCTGGAACATCCTGACAGCCTGCTGGAAACAAGAGTCTGTCCCATCATAACACGACAGCAGAGCCATGCGCTCGCCTTCACAACACACTCTGAGAAAACACAACAGCCTTCAAAACCAGACTGAAGAAGAGGCGGAGCCAGATGTGGTGAGAGCTGTCAATCAGACACCCGAGGACACGCCCCTTTCCTGAAGCAGGCCAGAAACACACTTAAACCTGAGACTGAGAGCGTCCTGTAACACGGTCGTAGATCGAGTCTAGATGCATATTTAGTGAACCATGAGAAACTAGCTACTAGTGAGTGGATCAATATTGCTGTGGGTCAATGAAAGAGACCACATGATTCCCCGTATATTGGATTTCTCAAGCCTGTGAGAAGGAAAAACCCATAAAGAGAGCTTTATAAACCTATATAAACCTTTATAAAATATGCAAAATAATGCAAATAAAATAAATAAATATAAATAATGACTGAATTAAATAAATTATATTAATTAAAATAATGTAATTAATTAATATATTATTGTTTATAATAATTATTTGATTTGATTTGATTGACTTTATATAATAATTACATCATAAAGTTAAAAATAGAATTGTATAACTGGAATATACAAAATATACAATATATCTATGCAATGAAATGCTTTGCACTAATATCAGCTATCTATATTGTTTGCCATATAATGCAAAATGTAATCTTTAAATTATGTTTCTTGTCATTTTAGAGTGAAATATGATCTAGATGTGATTTTGTGAGATTCACCTATCTGGAGGCTACATATAATAATTACATAATGTTAAAATAGAATTGTAACATGGCACTGTCATTCTTTTTGGCTTATGTTTTTGCTTAGTGAGTCTCTGAATAAAATTGAGCTGTGTTTCCTTCATATTCCCACTATATCAGAGTCATATAAGACTGATTGGATCAAATATGATATTCAACAAAAAACATACGCACAGATTTTATTTGAGATTTTGTCTGAAGTTTTAATAAACTATTTTGTAGCTTCTTTTACTGTATGACAGATGCATGAGATAAACAAGAACAAATTTATGAACCCATGCTGAATTTATGCAAATATAAGTGCTACAAGATGTTATTTCTAATTTTTAAGCAATTATTTAACATGCAACATATATCTATGCAGTGAAATGCTATGCACTAAAATATATATTGTTTTTGCCTGATATTTTTGCTTATGATAGTTTTTCAAATATATAAAAAATAATTATGTAATATATTTAAAAAATAATAATTTAATTAAAAAAAAATGTTTTTGCCTTTTTCTGAGATTCAACTAACTAGTAACTTTATATAATAATTACATAATAAAGTTACAAATATAATTGTATTTCTATAATATACAAAATATCTATGCAGAGATATCTACGATATCATTTTTTCTGATAGATTTCATTATTTATCATAAAAAAAATAATGTGTGAAAAATAGTGAGTGAAATATGATCTAGACTTGTTTTGTTTGTGTGTGTGTGTGTGTAAGAGTGTGTGTGTGTGTGTGTGGTGTGTGTGTGTAAGAGTGTGTGTGTGAGAGAGAGAGAGTGTGTGTGTGTGTTTGTGTGTATGTGTGTGTGAGAGAGTGTGTGTGTGTGCGTGTGTGCATGTGTGTGTGTGTGTGAGAGAGAGTGTGTGTGTGTGTGTGTGAGTGAGTGAGTGAGTGAGTGAGAGAGTGAGTGAGTGAGTGTGTGTGTGCGCGTGAGTGAGTGAGTGAGTGAGAGAGTGAGTGAGTGAGTGTGTGTGTGCGCGTGAGTGAGTGAGTGAGTGAGAGAGTGAGTGAGTGAGTGTGTGTGTGCGCGTGAGTGAGTGAGTGAGTGAGAGAGTGAGTGAGTGAGTGTGTGTGTGCGCGTGAGTGAGTGAGTGAGTGAGAGAGTGAGTGAGTGAGTGTGTGTGTGCGCGTGAGTGAGTGAGTGAGTGAGAGAGTGAGTGAGTGAGTGTGTGTGTGCGCGTGAGTGAGTGAGTGAGTGAGAGAGTGAGTGAGTGAGTGTGTGTGTGCGCGTGAGTGAGTGAGTGAGTGAGAGAGTGAGTGAGTGAGTGTGTGTGTGCGCGTGAGTGAGTGAGTGAGTGAGAGAGTGAGTGAGTGAGTGTGTGTGTGCGCGTGAGTGAGTGAGTGAGTGAGTGAGTGAGTGTGTGTGTGCGCGTGAGTGAGTGAGTGAGTGTGTAAGTGTGCGTGAGTGAGTGTGTGAGTGAGTGAGGGAGTGAGTGTGTGAGTG